AACCTGAATGGAATATTCTTCCTCCAACCTTGGTATATGTGGGATGTAAAAGGTACATCCCACAGGTGCCTCTGCCACTTTGCAGTTAAGAATGACGGATACTGTGTGTGGAGGTCATCTGGTTTTTACTCAGCTAAAAGGTGAGACAACCTTGTTCCGCATGATCTCCTCTTCCTATCAAACTCAGCAGCAATCCCCAAAGGACTCACCCGCTGAAGTAATAGGAAACATTCTTCTCTGCAGAAACAGAATCAGACCAGCTACATGGGCATTATAAAATGTCCTCAAAGCATCTTAAATAGATGCAAGGCTTGGCTCACTGTCCTCTGCTGAAACCCAGTGGAATTTAAAGAGCTCACCTCTTACAGACACTTATCTTCAGATATGACTTTCTTCAGCAACTCCATCAATAAGAACTATTAATTCCTGTGGATCAATACTTAGATGCAAAGTATTTGTACTAATTCAACATTTTAGTTAACATACTCTTCCTAGAAGGTATTGCCTTAAGTACATTACATACTGCCATGGAGTCTCCTTCTTTCATCTTGGGTACTATATGTATAAAACGAAAAATCACTAGACCTAAGAAAAATCTTCCTAAGACAATCCTCACCTTTTAATAAAAATTTATCTTGTACTTCAATAGTAATAAAAAAATACTAGCTGCTAAAAGGGAAAACCTGTTTCTGAAGTATTATACATATACCTTTACAACATACATCTCATTACCAAAATGGCAGTTATAAAAGGATTAGCTGTAATCTTCCATAGCCTATAGTACTCATCCTTAATCCATCATTTTTTCCTGATAAAGCAGTGATCTTTAAGTACACACAGTACACGACTGTTGTCACACATTATGTCAACAACCCACACTGAATATTTTGATATTATCACAAACCATACATTAGACATTGTATTTTATCCAGCTGTCTATAGAACATGAATTTACCTTGCAACATTAACAACACCCACTTGAGGAAGATGGTTCAGCTCATGGCTTAATGATATACAGTTGTACCAGGGTTAACTGAGTATATTAAACTGAGATGAGGCATTTCCTTTCCACTGCATCCTTTCTTAACATCCTGATGTATCAGGCATTTACATATCTGAGCGCAGGCTGATAGCTCTACTATTTGCACTATTCTACTCCATGGTCATCTAAGTTGGTAACGTGCAACCTGTAATAGTTCCATTCCTAAATGCAAGGTGCCCCATGAGACATTTAACTTGTCTTTTTCATAGTGAACTTTAATCATGACAAGAGAAAGTTTACACAGAAAAAGCTTGGGAAACACAGTGTTTAGATAGTATAGAGCAAGAATGCAGTAAGAGGGGACAAGGTCACGTTTGCCTATAAAATTAGAGAGGATAACAAAGGCAGGTTAAGAGGTTCCATTTTTCCCTCTTTCAACAAAGTCCTAAGGTAATCTTATTACCAAGACTTCTTCTTTCACTTGGGAACAAATCTTGAAAACCTGATGCCACTGCTAAGATTTATTACACTAGTAAATATTTTATTGGCTGAACTCTTACTACAGAGCACAGGAAGGTCCTTTCTTGTGAGGCTCTTAGTAGCTCCTCACTGTCATTCCCATGAAATATCATTTCCCTTAGCATGTGACTGCAGGCACTCAAACAATGAGTTTTGAGTTATTGCTGCCAACCTCTTGCTGTGATCAGGAATCTTGTACAGGGCCAAGTAGCACAAGTAGTTTTCTGAGGAACTGTTGCAGCTCCACACATGTTCATGCTCTACAAGGCTTTTCATAGAAAAGTCCATTTCCCCTCAGTCAGTGAGAACAGCCGAAAGACAAGAGTTAAGTATTTCATAAGCTAAATGACAGTAATCTGGAGAGTAGTCCATGCATAAAAGCTGTAGGCTGCATTTCTATCCTTTCTGTAGATCTGTACTCCTTATGCCTCTTGAAGAAACTTACAAAATAAATAAATGATTAACTAACTGCCCCCACTTCCCTCAAAAGCAGTTTCAAAAGCATCCAAAAGAGTATTTGAAATTTTAGCCCTTGAAAACTAAGATAATGGCAAAAATCCTACCTTATAACACCTTTAACAGCACTAGAAATATCACTATTCAAGGAAAATTACAATACTGCCCCTCTTTGGGGTATACACCGTCAATAACTTATCATTAACAAAACATATTTTATAAGGGGATATATGCTGACATTCAGCTAGCGGCATTTCTGTAGTTTTTTTTATTCCTATAAACCTGCACAAGGGCTTATAAACACGATTTTACACAGTAAGCTTGTAAAACCTCTAGTGAAGATGTCAGGGATGTCTTCAGCCCTTTGAGATTATAGTTTTCTCAGGCACAAAAAGGTCCCAGGTTTATCAGTATCTTAACAGTGGCATTATTCTTACAAGGATGAAATTGAAGTGTCATCACCCTAATACCTAAACCATTGTTATATTCACAGTAGTTAATACCTTACTCTTCATGTCTAGCCAGCTGCGCCATCTCCTTCATTTACACAGAACAGTGATGTCTTTCTAAAGAATTATAAATTAAAGAAACAACAAAATCCTACAAGAACAGCCAGACTTAAGGAACAGCCACTTCTGGCTCAATACGCATAGAAAAATTCTTGTCCGGTAGAGGAAACTAACAGAAAAACCTCCAGAAAATCTGCTCCCAGACTTTTAATTAGTAAAAATGTGTTCCTGCCAAACTGATGCTCTGGGATGCACTCAGTGCTCCCCCACTGCACCAGATGCTGTTTGTTCTGATCAGAATTTCTCACATAAACCCCACTCTGTGCAGAAGTTCAATGGGCCACCATGAAGCGCACCACCAAGGACTTTCAAAAGGAGGAGCAGATGTGAATTTAGTACATAATTATTTCTTATAACAGTATCCAAGAAAGATACCATCAAGGGAGGCTTAGCGCCATGCAGTTTAACCAACACAAAGATAAACGAAGAAAATACAAAAATTGGCTGTTAGCTTCACAGCTCCATTCCCTGATAAACTAGGGATTAACAAGTACAACCAGGAGGGCATCTCACAGTACTGGGCTGCATATAACCAGTATTCCCTCACCGGGAGCAGGTCCTACAAAACAATTAAAAGGAAAGTCCTTTACAAGAACACTACTATTTCTCTTCATGCATGTACAGTAAACAAAAGCACACACGTGCATGAAGGACATCTGCCATGACTAGTTCCAATTGTGAATTCAGCACGGTCCATGTTGAGTTGCACTGAATGCTGTCAGCGAAAAGAACGCTAAATACAGCTCGAGAACAACACTTAATCAGTGCTACACAACCTGTGTTTCCAAGAGTTTTTAATTTGGGAGAGCCATATAGCCCAATTTGGGAAAGACAAAGGAGATTTCTTGATTCATACAATGATTCAGATTTGAAGGGATCTCAGGAGGTCTCGAGTCCAACCTCCTGCTCAAAGTATGGTCAACTCTAAATTCATACCAGCTTGTTCAGAGCTTTGTACAGCTAGGTCTTGAGAACCTCCAAGGACAGAGACTCCATAGCTTCTCTCGGCAGCCTGTCTCAGTCCTTCATTATTCTCCCAGCAACCATTTTTTTCCCTTACATCCAGGTCAGAACCTCTCTGTTCCCACTCCCGCCCTGGGCCTGCCTTTCCCTACTGCCCACCTCTGTGAGAAACCTGTTGCCATCTCCCCACAGCCCCCCCGTTGGTGGAAATGGTGGCTGTTGGGCCCCCACAGCTTTCCTTCCCCCAGCTGAGCAAGCCCTGCTCCCATAGCCTCTCCCTGCACATCAGCTCCAGCCCCACTGGACTCACTCCAGTTTGTGAACCCCCACCCTATGGCAGCTCAGAGCTGGGCCCAACACTGCAGGTGGAGTCTGGAGAAAGACAGCCAGTAGATCCCCCACTGTCACCCACTCCTGACCATGCTCCTGCTGGTGCAGCCCTGGTGCCACCAGCCTTCCCTGCTGCCAGGGCGTCCTGCTGGCTCACATCTAGCCTGCTGCCCTCCAGGTCCTTTCCAGAAGAGCAGCCTCGCAGCCAGTTAGATCCCAGCCTGCACTCTTGCAGGAGGTTAATCCATCCCAACTGCAGGACTTGGAATTCGTTGTTGCTGGATTTCATGAGGCTCCTGTCAGCCCATACCTCCTGCCTGCCTAGGCTCCTCTGAATGGCAGTCCTTCCCTCAGCTGTACTTAGTGGTCCACCAGTTTCTCATCCACCAGCTTGATGAGGGTGCACTCCATCTCCTCCTCCAGATCCTTGCCAAGGATGTCAGGCAGCACGGATACGTATGGTTCCCTGAGGAACTTTGTCTCCAGGTAGAGCATGAGCCGTTAACCACCACTCTTTAAGCTGGATGATCCAAGCAATTTCTCACACACCCAGCAGCCCACCTACCAAAACATAGCTACTCCAAGTAGGTACAAGGATGCTGTGGGAGACTCTGTTGAAAGTCTTGCTTAAGGTGAGGTAAGAGAGATGTACAGCTTCCCTTCATTCAGGCATCCAGTAATTTCATCAAAGAAATACGTTGGTCAAACACAATTGCTGTTGTTTAATCCATGCTGGCTACTCCCCATCACCTTCTTTCTTGTCCCAAACCTCTGTATGTAACTATGGAGTATTCCCTCACACTGAGTAACATCTTGAGTAGCATCCAGGAATTAGCATGCTTTGCCAAAATGATACATGTTTTCAATTAAAACACAGAACATTGCACTCTAAGACACAGCAAAGATAAGAAACTAGAGGACAACGTCCACCACAGAATCTGTATCCATACATACCAGGAAGTAATTTTCTGATGAAATATAAACAGCAGTATATAATTTATCTAAAAACTACACTGGGCAGCTGTCACTGATCAACACTTACTGACACTGCACCATAAGCTGCATTTTCCTTTCCTTTAATTAAATACCAAGCCTGACCTTTACATCATCACATACGTGACTGAATGTGAAAAAAATCACTTAGCACATAAAAAGGTATTTTCTCCTAGACAGGTGCTCACCTTGGGATGCTCGTCAGGTAGGTCAGGACATTCTGGAACTCCTTCTCGGGGATCTCGCTGAAAGCTGGATAGTCTGGAAAGGTGATAACAGGGCATCCATCTCCCCCTCTTCCACCTACAAAAGAAACAAGCAGCAGGCGTGTTAACATGCAAGTCCCTTTACTGAGCCTGCAATTTCCCAGTAAGGAAACTACTGTGTTTCTTCGTTTTTTTCTGGTACAGGGCTCATCAGTGTGGACACTGTTTATTCTGAACAGTCTAGTCTCTTCTTCAGAGCTTAGGATGTTTTATAGGAAGGAACTTGTTACACCCATTAAATTTTTTTTCTGTACAAACATCTTTGCTCATGCAAACACAGTTTTGACACCAGATGGCAGTGCATCTTTCTTTTGATAAATGTCAACTGTTTGTAAATATAAACAACTCAGAAATAAATGAACTAATTTAGGAAAAAAATGTTAATTCAGAATTAAAAGTAGGCAAATCTCCATCTTGAGCTGAACTCAAGCTTCTTACTAGTTTGAACCTACTCATGCAACCTCTCCCCGCTCAGCTGGCTGCTCTGCTTCCAGGAGAGTCTAAAAGAAGTGGGAAGGACATTAAAAGAAATGGGGAAAGTGTTCAAAATGGGATTTCCTGTTCAACTTCTCAGATTATCTACAAAAGGTAAAGCAGAGCTGAACACCTATGTTGCAGTATGGCTGCTGCTGAGCTAGATGTCATTATCTGTACCTTTTCTGGCATTTGCATCACTCGGTAGAATTCACAAACGCAATGCTTTTTAATACGCTTCACATACATTTTTATAAGCAAAATGTAATTTTTTTTAAAAGGCAATGTTAATGTTTCATGTCTTAAGCAAGTATATTTTCATAAAGACAGGCTGGACAAAGGACTTGTTGAGCACTAGCAACTGCATGAAGTTAACAGTTGGGGGTGGCAGGGACACATTGCTGAAAAGTCATCTTTGATTCACAGTTCAAAAAGAAGAAAAACAGCCAAAAATTACCGTGGTAAAGTAACAAGGATATTTTTTCCAGCCCTCAAATCTGACAATTGCACAGAAATCAGTTGTAAACTGTTTTAACAACACTGATCATGGGAGCAACAGTGATTTGTGAAAATTAGTGTGCCGTTACCTACTTCCAGTGCCTTTGCATCTAATCTCACCAGAAAAACAAGAGAAATATATGAGCTCAGATTCATCTGATAAGAGAAACCACCATTTCCCTCCAAACCCACATGTAATTAGAAGAGCTCAAATAGTATCCTTGTGTTAATTTGTGGTGAATATTACTTCAGTCTAGCAGCTTACAGGCAATATGGTGCTACCGCTGTGTAGCTCTTGAAATCAAACTACATCAGAAAATAACGTGCTCTGGATCCATTTAAACAACAACAACAAAATGCAACTATTACACAAATGTCACAAGTTTGCAAACATAACCTTTACAACACATCCAAATGCAGCAACGTTAAGTCAAGGGAGTTAATTTTAGCTATATAAATGTTCACAACACAAATGTAAGTTAAGAGCAATTTTGATCTATTATTTTTTATGCTACCCAGGCTCTCAGGACCAAAGCATTATCCTTTCTCATTAAAAACATTTTTCAGCCATGATAATGATTATTTCTGTTGCTCACGAGGTGTTCTGCTCTCTCTAGAATATCTATTTTTAGGTACAGTTATACATTATTTGCTGTATCCCCATTGGTTACTTGCTTTGTTCTACTTAATTTCTATAAATAGGACATATGAAACAAAAGAACAACAAATGGCTTACAGGACATGTCCTAAAAGCAGAAGCACGGACTATGACCTTCGGGAAGTTCACAGACCACCACCGACTGTCAAGGACAAATAGAGCCATCCGGCCTTGACACTGCCTATTAGTTTTCAGTTTCTAGCACAGTCATCTGTGGTTATCTTGGGTGGAGATGACTCTGTCCCACCATGTGTTGTTAAAGATTGCTGTTCATTGATTATCTTTTTCTCCAGTATTTTCCTGCTGGGACAATTACGCACACATATACCTTCAAATGCTGCTCAACTGCTTTTCCTTATCAGGACCTCGCTGCTGAAAAGAGTTTAGGGCAGAGCAACCTGACATACGAAATATAACAAAGTAAAAATCCTACATATAAATTTTGTTTCTATTAAATAATAGTAAAAGCAGTAGGTGAGTTCACTTTTTAAAGTGTCCTTTGTTTCATAATGAACCTGATGCAGCAAGGAATGATTTTTTTTTTTCCCTTTATTTGGAATCACTTTTTCTTGCTTCACCTCTGCAAAAGCAGCATTACAGTTTATTCCTAAATTAGCTGTGTAAAATTTGATTTTCTTCCCTTCTCCCAGAAGTAAATCAAGCCACAGAATTTAGAGGGAGGAGATAAAAGGGAAAGTTTAGGCATCTATGTTTGGGTTTTGTTGTTGTTTTTTGTTTTAGTGAGAGGGAAAGCATTCGAGTGACAAAATGAACAATTTTACTTCTCTCATCATTCTTGAAACACAGGTTTAAGGCAAAAATTTAAAATATCTTATTAAAAACAATTCACACAGTAACCTTCCAGCAAAAGCACCCCTCTTTTGACATGACTGCAAACAAGATTAATTTTACTTAAGCTAGGTCTTTTGAACGAAAGCTGTAGATCCGAGCCATTTAACGATGATGCTCTTGAATCTCGTGTGTGCGTATTGATCAGCACAGAGATCATGTTTTTTTTTTCTTATAGTCTGAATACCATTTCATTTGCATTACAGATTCAGGCTAGAAGACCCACCTCTTTGCTCCATCATCATCTAATTATATCCAGCTACCTTGCTTCCTTTTTGTGGGGTTGGGCAGAGTGTTTTTGAGAATACCTTTTCTTATGCAAACAGGAGCAGAATAATTAGGGGTACATTACAAAATAATCTGCTTTTCTTCCCTGGAAATCTGAGCAATCTCTTTGCTGCTTCCAAATTTTGATGGCCGTACCAAAAAACTAGCATGTCTTTCACAGGGCTGTGGGGAATTACCCTTTTCTCTACGTGTGTGTTCACATGAACATGTGTGTGTTTTTTTAGTAGATGTAAAATTCATACTTTTTGTAATCTTCTCTGTCAATGCTATTTTAAGTTGAAAAGAATACTAATTGTTTCTCATGGGAGATTGTTTTTAGATACCAAGTCACTAATATGCCTCTGGATTAGAATTTGTGTAAAACAGTGTTGCAAATCTCCTTGGCTTGGTGCTTCTCTATCACCTTACCTGCTTAATAAAAAAAAGAAAACAAATGCAAAAGAGATTGCAACTGTGATGGGAAAAGTTAGATGTAGCAGAATATAAAGAATAAATGGTAAATTACCTAGATTTAAGGTAAACTTTACCAGTCCCATCTCACAGTAGCACAGCTAGTTTTCCAAGGATCATTTTTCCACTCCTTTCGTACAGGAGATCACGATGCTCTGGGTCTGCATAATTTTAACAGTTGGTGCTACTGTTTAAATAATCATATACAAAAGTCAGGAACATGAAGTGCTATTTCCTAAGCACACTTAAGTCATTTTGCCACCTAACCCATGGAGCTAATGCAATTCAACATGTTTTTAAAATGCATGTTTCTCCAAAACACAGGGCTGTCACTGCTGTAAAAACTGGCCTTAGACCAAGGCGCGTAGATCAATTTAGAAGAGCTCTAACTGGAAGTTTACTAGAATTGTAGAGGTTTAGCCACTGAAAAATGTCCATTTTATAGAGGCAATCTGTGTTTTCTTTGATACTAAATCTGCTAAAGAAGTTTCAGTTGAATAGGCTGCCAAAGTCAGTTATAAATGAGTTAATAACTAAGCTTTCTTTTAATGAAGGCTCACAGAAGTAGGGTGGAAGCAGATCTACTTAATTTAAAGTGGTGTTGCACTTTTATTTTTTTTAATTGCTGACATATGCTTTAGTGCTCTTTACCTCTATGGTGTTTCCATTTTTAGATTGAAAAGTAATAATCCTCTCACTTGGAGAATGTTCCTTACAGCTGCATGTTATGAGACAAGTCTCAAAAAATTCCTGGGAATCATTTCAGGTACAGTGTGTACAGACTGATTGCACCCACTTACGGACTGATGCGTTCTCTTCTGCTCTTTGCAATAAACAAAAACTAAAGCTGGGACTCAAGAGGCATTTGTTTAATATTTCAAAAAGAAATAATATTGAATGGTTTTAACCATTTTCATAGAATCACAGAAGCACAGAATAGTTTGGGTTGGAAGGAACCTTTAAAGATCACATAGTCCAACCCCCCTGCCATGGCTAAGGACATCTTTCACTAGATCAGGTTCCTTAAAGCCCCATCCAACCTGACCTTTACATAGTCACAACAGTGTTTGTATTTTTTAACAAAAAGTAAGGGGTTTTAATATTCTTTCAGAAATTTAGATTAAAAAAAAATAAAAGATACTAAGATTAGACTAAGAAAATGCTCTCAAAGAGATACTTGTTTGTCTTAGGAACACATAAAACTATTAAATTCCAATTACATAGGTCAGTGCATCCTTGCTTAAGACTAGAAATAGGAGAGGGGGCTTGTGTGTGCCATTGTGGACAGAACTCGCCCAGCAAATAAATTTAGGCTGTTCCACGGCTGTGGCTGAAATTTCAGGACTGTGAGCTAGAGGAGAAGGAGAAAGATGATTTTCCAGTGGTTATGACTAAAGTAATTAGACATAGTCACTCCACCAACAGACCTGAATTTATTAAAACATTACAGTTAAATCACTACTCTTTTGGATGGTGATTAAAATTCCAGTCACTTGTTTTAAAAATTACTCTGTACATATTGAACTATTTTCATGAATTGTAGCACTCAGAGTTCATCTAAGTTTTTGCATCCTTTTTTTGTAATTGGGTGTGTATAATTCCGTTGCGGTGGTTCAGCTATTATGTTTGTATGTTTCTGATAAAGAATTTCTCCTTTGTACTTGCATAATATACTTAACTGGAGTATTTGGAGTATTTGAAATTACCTGTAGATTTCAATGAGGTAGTGGATAAAAGCTTCATGGCATATCCTTTGCAAAGAAAAACAGAATCAAGAGGAATTTATTAAAATATTCTTTCCTTGAAATGAGAGAGAAGTTTTACTTGTATAACTTCACAAGCTGCATTTTGCCCACACTGATCAGCAGCAAGTATACTGGCTTAGAAATCAGATTGCAATAACTAAATTTGTACCTGATTCTGTTTGAACTGGAGACTTCTTAGCCAAGGATTCTTTTTTTTTCCCCTTTCTCTTTACTACTGTTCTTTTTTTAAATCTCTGCAGACAGTGGGTTTAGCACAGTAAATATAAAACAGCAGTTAAACTTACACCTGTGCAAAGGAGAAACTGCTAATACCTCCACCACTGTCAATATACAACATAGACACTGATCATGTTATACCGGCAACAAAAATCAAGTTGATATTTTAAACAAACTGATGCAATGTATGTGGTACAGGATCCACTCAAAAGTTCTCAAACACAATTTTACAAACAGACTCACCACCCCTGGATACTTCAAAGGCAACAGTTTAACCAGTGAGGTATTTTCAGGTCGTTTCCACAGAGGAGAGCAAGAGCACAGCCAAGTAAATAAAGTTACAGAGAGCAAGGAGAAGCTTATTATTTAGAATGATAATTTAAAGGGCCAAAGATATAAGCATTTTGAAAGCTAGTACCAATGCTAACTTTTTCAACTGCAGGAAAAACAACTATGAATTGATAGGCAAAAATGCAAGTAGCATGAACTTGTATTTGTATTTCCTTTAATGGAAATACTTTGTTTGAAGTTGTTCAATGCATAAAGAGGCATTCAAAGGAAAAGAGCTGAAATAATTGGTTCAGTACTCATGGTGGCCAAGACTCCCATTTGCACATCACATAGCTTGTTCGATTTAAGATGCATATAAACATACACACCTGTCTGTACGCTCTTTTTCATCTACATTTATTTTAACATACCTGCATACAGTAATGGCAGATAGTTCCAAAGTTGGGTATGAATGTCACACAGCAACTTTCCAATCAAGGAAAGAGAAAAGAAAATACTTACAAAAGAAAATATAAAATGCGAATGAAAGACTGTAAGGAATACATTTTCCAGAGACTTTTAAATGGACCTTCCAATGTCCTGTGTGAGGATTAAAAAAAAAAGGGGGGGGGGGGGTCAGAAGACCCTTTGCAATGCAGAAGAAAAAGTGGTTGCACAAATACTAACTAAAGGAAAAAAAAAAGTAAGAGAGGTGAAACAGTCAACCATGTAGAGCGGATGTTTACTACAGATTAGCAACAACAAAAAAGAGTAACAATTCTTGCAAAGATAAGGACCTTGTTCCACAGAAAGAAAAAACTCCAAGGGAAAAAGTAAACAGCTGGGCCTGAGGTAAAATATTAACATCGGTGTTTATAAACTTATGTGAATGATTAAAAACCTCACCCACAGCTTGCCCCTCCGTTAGATTCAAGCTGAACACATGACTGCATACTCACTGCTGAGCAAGAGCTAGAGCCTTCAGCATCTGTAGGAGTAGCTAGCACCTAGATCTCATTGCACTTTGCTATATTTACTGAAAAACTGAAGCATTAATGTAAAAGTTTTTGCTTTATTTTGTTTCATTTCAAGCCTAATTCGGGTGTCCCTGTAGCATTTCCATTATAATCTAGCAGAATGAGGGACATGAATTACTTTGTACCTGCAGAGGAAAAAAGACCAAGAGAAAGAAGTGACCCCGATTTAGCCCAAAACACAGAAAGCAGCTCAGAAAGGGCTACAGCCTTTAGCCACAGAAGCAGACTAGGTTTCATTCACTATTCAGGCAAGTGTCCCATGAGACCTAGATACATCCTGTTAGAGAAACTAAAGCAATTCTCAAGTATATGTTGCATTGCTGTTAAGCCAAAAAATAAAAACTGAAATGCATCTAAGACATTACACAATTCACCTTATCCGCAAACATGCTATCTATCAAAAGTATTTGTAATCTATGGACTTTCATTTTAATGAGTTTTATGTCCCAAGATTCTATTTCCAAGGCAACTTAGTAATAAGCAAAGAAGTCCCCTTCACCCACACTGTGAATGTCTTCAGTGGCATTACAGCAAAGCCACTCGTAAGCCCAACTGCAAGAACAAACAAATTGTACATAAATCAAGTATCAAAATATTAGCTCTGTTCCTTGTTCACAGAACCCATAACACCACTATTTGGTACAGCACAGAAAATTAACAGCGCTGCAGGAAAATATTAGGATAAAAGAATTGAAGTCCAAAGTGAAATGAAAATGCCTAACAGTCAAATTGCCCAAGAATAATAAAATACGACAGAGGATATAGTCACAGTCCACAGTAATGCAGCTGTCCTACTATTTCAGGCAAACAAAACAGACTTTTAATAGACATGAGCATGAATAAATAGAAGAAAATAGAATGAGGAACGGCTGCTCTTACTAAGCTCTATTGCACGGTGGATGTAATAAGTGCTGAAGATTCTTGTGGCTATGCAAACTCAACAATCTTAAGACGTGAACAATCTGCTGTTGGACTCGATGAGATTTTATTCATCTACTGTAGTCACCCGTTCTCCCCCCTCACTTCAGAGGGGCAAAATGTAAACCCTACTTATGGTTTCCTAGGTAGGCTGATTCTTGCATAACACTGTTATGAGCCATTTTCTGCCTCTGGATAAGAAAGAAGAGCTTGGAAAGTCAAAAAAATAAACTGCCAGAAGAGAATTGTAGCTTAAACACCATCATCTCAAATAGAGCATGAACAGCCAACTTCATGAGCAAAATGATCTTATTTCCAAGTGCTACCACCACCACCCCATAGAAAACACAGTCACTACCACAGACTCACATTTAGTTTAGCTTGTGTGGCAAGAATAAATCATAATTAATGGTTAATTATGAGTACAACAAGATTCAATGAGCTCTTGCCAAGCAAAGCAGTACATTGCTTCATTCCTCTGTGTCTCTTGATCTGATGTAGGGAGGGATTCAAAGGAAGAGGGAACAGTCATAAAGCGCAGCTTCAGCCCAGAGAGCTAAATCTCCTTTATGCTGAAGGAGGCAGGGCAGCTCTGCAAAGCCACTGATGCTCTCCCTCTCTATGTATTGGAGGGCAGGCAGGGCAGAAACTCCAGCAAGTTTGCTTGCACACCTGCAAGAGCTTTACAGGCAGGAAAACAAACTCAGCAGCTTATCAGACACCTGCCACACAGCCTGATCAGTGAGCAAAGGCACTACCTTCCTTTATCCATTATCAGCCAGCCGTGGTCCCAGCATAAAGATGAACCAAGCTCAGCAACCAACCCTTGCATGGCACAAACACAGGCCTGTATCACCTACTTGGCACAGGTTATCCAGGGGCAAAGACACTGCGTTGTGTGAACATGGCTGTGCTGCTTTTAGAGATGGCTTTACACCTAAAAGCGGGTTCCTTTGCAGAAGGCACGCAGTGATACCAAGTCAAAAACCCTGTCCAGAATTTGATGCTACGTATGCCTCAGCCCAGCACTGAGGCTGCGGGGGAACGTACTACCGTGGTGCTCGCTCCACCACTTTGGTCAAGACCAAGGTGTCAGCCTGGGCTTCAGTATCACACCAGACAGCAGAGCCAGTGGCAGCTGAGGCTGTGGGCTGAGGACTGCAAGACCACAGCAACCACCAGCGCATCCACGCTGCACTCTCCAGTTCTCCTCAGTGAGGGCTGTTAGCTCAGAGAGCTCTAGAGCAGCCTTTGAGCCCTGTCCTAGCTGCGAGCACTGGGGAGCACAGGGTGAGTACCCACAGCTCCCTTAGCACTGACTACAGGAGACTACATGTTCCTCTACCAGGCTCACCAGCACTTATTTATTTTGACCCATTAATTCTTTTATCCTACCCTCAATTCCATCCCACTAACCTGGATCCTGGAAGATTAACTATAATTTGAAATTTCTACTATGCTTTTTTAAAAAAATAAATTTTCTTTTTGTAAATCCTTAAATAACAAGTCTTGATAGTCTGTATTTTGAGTTGCTCATAAAATATGAACTTCTCCTATATGAGACCTCAGAAACTGTGAAAGCACAACAGGCCGAACCATACATCTAAGCAATGTCTGTAAGAGGGAACACCACAATCTTACCTGACAGGTAAGCAAATTGTTTCTTTAACTGGTCCTGAATATCCGCAGCATAGAGGGGAATGATATCCTGATGCATGATTTCATCTGTGGAAGAAAAAAAAAATTTGCATTGCAAAGTCATTTTATGTAAAATTTCACAGCAGACATCAAAAAAAGTCATCCCTAGAACACAAACACTCAGAAAACCGTCCAAGTTTTGAAAAATACATGAAAATGTCTGCAGTGTTTCAAGTGTTTGCCAAGGGCAAACTTTTCTTTGAACAGCATACTGATAAAAGAGTAAAGAAATGTGGATTTGCTGATGCTCAGAAGTGGTACGGGATGACACTCATCCAAACACTATAGATCTAATATTCCTCAGGAATGATGTTAAACAGTGGGTTTTTTACATATCAAATTCATTTTTTATTAAAATCTTCTCAACTCACATGAAAAAGGGAAACCTAGGATCCCTCTAGCCTGTTGTCTAGTGTTCAAATACCCCAAGGCAACAGTGTTCAATAAGGTAGGTAGAACAGGCTTGAAAGTACATCCTCACATTTAACACACACATTCGTACCTCAACTGGAAAAGCATTGCTTAATCTTTTATCTCAGCCCTTCCACTTCAGCTTGATGACAAACATACTGTTTTCCCAAATCTTTGTTTTCTGCCACAGTGTTTGAGCAGAAGCGTTTCCCACAGCACATTTCTAGAGGTCAAGCAGAAACCTAAGTTTTGCTGACCTCAATAAAGACTGCATGACAGAGTTGCCTCATTCATTAAACTATGATCTCATTTTTTTTACAAGGAAACAAAGTTTTACTCTTGCAATTCCTAAAAATTAATTATTCTATATTGTTAGCCTCATTGAAAAGTAGCGAAGGGATAACCTAGCATTTTCATCATTTGGTTTTGAACATTTCCTTTAATCTGACATTGTATAAAGAAGTTTTGTTTTCTAATGTACATTGAAATGCCGTTAAGATAGACTCAAATCTGACACTCAGAACTGTGAATATGCACAGGAAAAGTAAGTAAAAAAATCCAAAAGCCATGTAAGGATAAGTGTCATCTGCCTTGAAGTACAAGCTGATCAAACAGAAGTAGAGCTCTGGCCCTCAAGGAAGGGACTTGCTATTACTGAGAACTTTAAAATGCTAGATCTGGAGTGGAGAGCCACTCACTTTACAAGCGATTCTCATGTATGCAAAATTCTGAGAACTGCAATTATTTGAGAACAGCAAACCCCCCCCAATTTCAGTTACTTCTTCCAGATAAGCAACAACTTATACTGGGAAACAGAACTTCTCTGTTCTCTTTCGGCCAGTCGGGTAGAGGAAGACCCATGAACACTTTCAAGGTCACACACTGATCAGAGATTATTTTTCTGCATCCGGTGAACTGCTCCTTGATCAGAAGACCTCTGCATTCCATGCTGTCAAATCCATAAGTGGGTACATTTAACTGCTAAGTCATATTTCATCCAGACCTTCAGTTATGTCATCATCTTAATGGTTTTAAGAGAAAACTGAACACAGATCCTTCAAAAGTCCAATCTCAGATGGCCAAGTCATTTCCAGAAGAGGGGACCCTGCCGTTCTAAAGGAAAAAGGATTTTAGATTTTATTTTTGCTGTCAGTGCTTTTTAATATAAGGAGCCCTCCTGCAGCAGTGTTTAAGAAACTGAGGTAAATACCCCTGATTAGGCAAACCAATGCCTGCAGGTGGACCCGTTTACTTGAATATAAACTATTACAGGGTCAGTGCTTAATTTTTTGGTGAGAGATGGGTAAAGGGAAAAGAATGTAATCACTTTGTAATATGCCATCCTGCCTACAGTCACAGGCAGAAATAATTTTCATTATTGCAGCCTAAGCATGTAATAAAATAGGGATGTTTTGCATACCTAAGTGAATATGTGACATGGAACATTCAAGCAGGCAAGACATTCGTAAGGCAGGGAAACTCTTTATGTTTCCCAGATATGTAATGATCACCATTTCCTCTTGTATCCATGTGATCAATCCCATTGCGGTCCTGACTTGTGCCATATGAAGACCCAAGTCTAGATTTGATTGCCCCAGTGTTCCCTCTGGTTGGAGCAGCAGCTTTTGCAACCAGCACAGGATAGCCCCACAACCTTGTTGTCAAATACTGTTTCACTGAAAAGACAGTATTTTCCTCCCCCTGGTTTTAACTCAAATTTAAGAGCCAGTCTGTTTGCAACTGGAGGAGCAGCACACTGTGTCTGTTTACAGACAAAAAACCCCCAGAAGCCCTTCCTGCTGCTCTCTCCTCCACCAAAGCACATCTCATCTTGCTCTTGCTGGTCTGGTTTCATGACACACTTCTGGAAGCAGAATACACATTGAGATCAGAGCTCATTTTTCAATAAGTTAAAACAACTGAGATAACAAATAGCAGTAAAAAACAAAGCAAGAAAACGCAACTCTTGGAACTGCTAACAGTTCATATCCAGCAGCTTGACTGGATGTGCTTGAACCCCGTATCAGTGCTCACAGATTTAGCCAGAAATCCCTCTCCAGTACCCTGTTTCCTTTCAGAGGAGATGCAATTGTAAAAACTCATCACTCTGCATCATTTCCTTCATATTTAGCAACATTTAGAAAAGAGAGTTCATCACAGTTTGTTTGGGATTTAATCTTATTTCACTTTAAGTTTGTCCATCACTACTTGAATATGCTATTTCCTTAACAGGGTAAGGTAACAAAATGCACGCATGCTAAATAGACTGCGAAGGGCACAGGCTCCTTATGCTCATGGACTTTGTGGAAAATAATTTCTTGGAAATATTCTTTAAATAGAGAACCTGCCACCTGGTACATTCTTTAGGGACAATTTCCTTTTTAGTAAGCTAATTAAGTGCACATTAAAATACAGAATTACTGAAAATCTGTTCACTGTTTTCTAAGGAATTCTTGTAGGCTCGAACTCTACTTCCACTTACATGGATTAAGATTGACACAGCCCATGATTTTCCCTGTTCTACCTTAACTGCTTTACATAGCATTTTCAAAACAGAGACCTAAGAGTTTGTCTGTTTTACTGTATCCAACATCCACAGCTGAAAAAAGATGCTTATATCAAAACATGCTAGAACATCCAGTCCTTCTTGAAGAGCTCATTTAAAGAGTTTTCCAGAGTAGCTTGCTTAAAAGAAAGCCCTTGGGATTTATAGTGCACCTGGTATTGTAGGTGCTAATAAACAGTAAAATAAGGTTCTGTGAAGTTATTACTGCTTTTTTATTATTATTATTTTTTAAAACTGAACACATGTAATAACTGGGAACGCACAAAGATTTTTTTCTAAGCCAACAACTGGAGGTTCTTTAAAAAAACCCACATGATCTAGCATTTAAAGTATAAATGTAAGAGATGACAGAAGGGTCATCTTACTAATATAAGGAATCAGTTCTTATTTTAAAAAAGCCTTTCTCTCTAAAAATGTGAACCACAATCTTATGGATATATCATCTTCTAATTCAATTTTAAATCTTGCTTTGATAAGTCCTGTCTCTATGATGGCTTAGAGGGGCCCAACCCCGTCCCACCAAAGGCACCTGACTGCATTTCAAACAAAGCAGGATGACAGGTTGAAGCACAAGGGCACAAAGATAACTTGTGCTTGAATTACCTGGTGCCAGTAAGCCCTGAAGAAACCCGGATCTGAGAAAATGATCAATGTCACTCAAGTCAAGATTTTCATTCATTGGTAAAAGGCTCCTCTTTCTTTTCCAATCAAAATGAAACTCTTCATCATTCAGAGTTCGCCTGACATGCAGAAGCAAAACCACTTTCACAGAAGACAACACTGGAGGGGAGTCTGAACAGACTGTACCTATGTTATGTGGAAGGAAGTCTCCAGGCATGACTCATGAGCCTCTTGTAATGGGTTTAATCCAATTCCCACTGAGCCAGCTGGAATTACACCACCCTTTGAGTAGGTCTGCATGAAATTCTATGGCCATTACTTTATACCAACTTGAAAGCCAACCTGTTTGTACACATATGGACACAATTATGCCTTTCAGCACAGATCCCAGTAGCACACCATAAAGCAAACTACAAATAAATTTTCCTCCTCCTCTTTCTTGCTGAGTCAGCAAGATTTTCCTGAAAATGTGTCTACATCTTCTCTATGCAATTCATGCCTTAAATTGAAGAAATAATGTCTTTCTTGACCAGTTTTGTTTTGCTTCTCCTCTGGAACAGCCTAACCACTCAAGAGTTGAATGCTTTCTATGAAGGGGGTCTTCATTTGAAAAATCTCTTCATTAAAGCACCCTCCCATCTGGTAATTATAAATGTACGATAATGACTTTCAGAGCAGTCCCTTCATCTCTCTCAGCCCGAAGGCAAACCTTTCATTTCCTCATTCTTCCCTCTTTATCTTCACCCCCTGACCACCATCGCTAACAGTCAGCTCCTTTGTGTACCCCCCAAAGGAGGAAGGGCCAGAGCAGCAGAGCTGGAGAAGATAGCGCTCTTCCGCACTAAGCCACGTGAAACTAATGAGCTAGTCAAGACGCCAACAGAGCTCTCCAGCTCTAAAACTGAATTTTAAAAATCGCCACTGAATAGAGATGATGCCTGCGAGCTCTGTGCTAGGTGTGCTCCGGCACAACAGCTGCAGACCGAGCTCCTCGAGTCCACGTGCTATTTGTAGCCACGCTGGGCTGATGACATGAGTTCATGCACGTGTTGGTAAACTGAGTATTAAAACCTCACGGGTTCGAAATATATTCAGGAAGAGTTCATTTCTATTTTATTTGACTGCACTGCAATCAAAACAAGGGGCCAGGAAAAGCGAGTGATTAAACTTCTGGAATTTTCATACAAAAGGCAGATCTTTGCTGAAGTCTAATTAGGAAGGAAATTATCACCTGGGTAGAACAGTGCTCTCTCAACTTGTTCATTTCTGGTGAGCTAAAATATCCCAAGCAAGCAGGAAACACGGATTTTTCATCTCTACCAGCATGCCAATTGCTAGCACAAATAGAAATAAAGCAACCTAGCGCTCCAAACAGCTTTGTATGGCACTGGGTGTCCAAAAAATATTTTAAATGATACAGGTATGTAGG